AGTTTGTTTTAACCAAGTTAGGAAAATCTGGATGGGACAACCACCCAACTAAAAACTGAAAAGGCGTAGGGTCCTTATTGGGGGTATGACAGGGGTAAGGGATGATTAAGAGAGGCTTATGATCTAATTGCACTTTAGAAAAATGGTGAATGGTAGCCTCCAGAAACTGGTTACACTATCTCTAGTTGCAAATGGCTCTATCAAGGCGTTGAAATAAGGTCCCTTGTCGTCAAACCCAACATAATCAAGTTGTTGCAAAGAGTTGATATCAATGAAGTGATTAAAGAGGGTGCAACCTTTAGATCGTTTAGTCACTCCTCTTTTTTGGTCAACCACCTCTAAAATGACATTAAAATCCCAGCTAGGAGCCATGGGCGATCATTGTGCTGCCTAATTGCAGTGAGCTCCTCCCAAAGATCTTTGTGCTTTTAGGAATTCAGACTCCCATAGATGATGGAGATAGAAAAGTCCTCTCATCCATCATTTCTATTAAGCCTAGAATGGATAAACTGATAGTGATAATATTCAACATTAACCTGAATAGACTCTTTCCACCTCATTCAAATGTCACACGAAAAGTGACCGCCTCGACTCTGTAAAAGTAATCGAACCCTAAGGTCTTAATTACTTTGTATGCTTTCTCGCTTGCAATCCTAAGCTTCAACAAAGCCACCAAGGTGGGGTTGTGGATATTCATAAAGGATTTAAGAACACGTCGGAAGCCTGCTTTTGTTGTATCTTAACAATTCCACACTAAAAATGAGCAATCCATAAAATAAAGAAAAGATGGAAATGAGCTAAAGCTCAAGAGGAAAACTATGTTTGTTCCTTCTGAAGGGCATCAACCACGCATAACACGATACTTACATCCTTATCGGCAAGCTCTTTGAGCTTCGACATCAAGGGGCTGATCATAGCGAATGAAGTGGTTGTAGGTGCTTGGTCTACTTTTGGGGCCTTAATTTGTCTTTTAAAAGTCTTGTTGACTTTTATACCTTTGCTGATACCAAGCCTATAAGGTGGTTTGTTTGTCATCCTAGAGCGATCCCTCAAGGAGAGCGTTGGTCACATGAGGAGAGAGGGAGGGACCAGATTGTGTTCATATTCATGGTCCAACTTATCCTCAATTATTATTTCTGTATTTATAGAAGGTTCTAGTGTAGTAGCACCTTGACTTATTACAAGCTTCTCTTTAAGGATTCTCCCTGCGCCATGTCTAATGGTGGGCGTTCTATTGACTGGCATGGCAGAGTCCATGGTTTTAGGGATGAAATCCATTATACTTAAATCATTACCTCCCACCACTGATGCATTTCTTTTATTCATCAGGGGATGCTTCCCATTCAATGCCTTCACCTGTTTAGGATCTCTCACCACTAGCCAATTTGGTCCTTCTAAAGCTCACTCCGTGTCAGGGAGTGTACTAAACCTTGACCCATTCTTTTTGTTACCTCTTGTAGTCTTTGTGCATTTGACAAACAAGCTAGGGTCCTTTCTTTTTGTTTTCTTCCCTTTGTGTTGGACTTGTATAGGGACTGTAAGTCTCCTCTGACATTACTACATTTTCTTGTTCGTCGGGAGTTGTGCTTCCACTCCTAGTTGAATCAATCACAGTCTCATTGTTCTTCTTGCACTGATCTTTGAGGTGCCCATAAACTCTACAGTCGAAACAGATTGTTGGAAAACCCTCACACTCCACCCTTTGAAAGCACCCATCAAGCATGAACTTTGAGATGAGTGGTTTGTCAGGTCAATACCAACTGCCAAACGGACAAACTTTCCTCGTTCAGTAGATTTTGTATTGTAATCAATGCAAAACACCTACCCTATTACCCTGGAGATAGCTCTAAGCACATTCTTTTGGTAGTAGTGGATAGGGAAACTAGGAAAATGCACTTAATACACAATATTTGTAACATCTGGGTTTGCAATTGAGAAGCTAGGGGACCAAGACTGCACCGTGAGGTATTGGTTGTATATAACCCAAGGGTCATCTGTAAGAACATGTAGATAGTCCTTTGTTGACTGGAGTTTGACCATATAGTAATCGTTATTAAGGTCTATAAGGTGTAGTCAATCTGTAGGCTTCCACAGGTTGTGGAGTTTAGCCCAGAGTGCTTTGTACCCAATCAACTTTCCAAACAACCAAATAGTTACAATAAGTTTCATAATCTGAGCTAGGAGATTGTGTACTTGATAGAAAAATTAATTCTAGATATTTCATTCTCTATGTCAAACTTAACATCTCCATCCCTGATCTCGATTTCCTCCTAGCTATTTGCAGCCTAAGGACTACTGATGAGTTACTACTGATGAGTTTATCTCTAAATGAGATTTTCACCATCGGTGCCCCTTGTGACAATGGAGATTTCCCTGGGTGTTGGATTTATTGTTGCTCGGCAACTATATGACTGGGGATCATAGTCTCCCCATTTCTTCCATAAATCCCCTCCCCTATCACAACATTAGTCATGTATTCATTTTCAAAGGGTGCTTTTTTAGCTGCCGGTCGGAATCTAGTTTGGGATTTCAATTGAGCCGCACCAGAACAAGGAAAAATTGTCTCAATTGTTGACTTGCCACCAGCCGCCGATGCTTCCAGCATCTGTTCATCCTCAGCAACCTCAGCTTGTGTCAAGTTCAGCCGGGTCGCGATTTGGGCCGCTAGGGTCGCACCAGAGCAGGGCACCGTCACCCCTATTCTTGCCTCTCTTTCCACCAGCACTCCATCCTGAATATGTTCGCTTACCACAGACGCATCACCGATGGCACCAAGCTGGGTCGCCTCATTATTCCTTGAGCAGCTCACTTCCGGGTTGAGTGGCGCTCCATCTGTTACCATTTCTTCAGCAGCCATCACTTCCTCCATCATCAGATCATCACCAGGTATCAGAGAGTGACTTTTCTCTAGCCATATCTTGACTTTCTTTGTGGATCGATGCTCTTCCGGGCAAGGCGGTGCCTCCCCCTTCTCCGTTAAAGCAAAGTCGAGACTCAGAATTAGGGTTTCTATTTTTTCCATCGCTCGTATCTTGTTTTCATATTTCAATTTCTATTTTATTATACTTTTTAAAAAAAATAATAATGCATTCAAGTTATTCAATACTTATAATCAGATTCATTTTATTAAATATATATTATAATTGTTACACTTAAATATAATCAGTTTATTTTATGTAATTATAATTTAAAATAAGAAATTATGAAAATCAATTCCAAAGAGAACCTTTTAGTTTTGTAAGTTTTTTTTTAAAAGAAACTATTAATTTTATAAGGTATAATAACACTGATCAATTAAACATTAGATTCATTATTAAATATAATTGTATTGAGGAACTTTATAGACTTTGATTGAATATGTTATTAATTATAGAGCTCGCACTCCATATACATGGCATCAAATTTGCAAATACTTTTTACACCCTAAACTTCACTTCTCCTTCCATTAGATGATATATTATTGTTGTTACAAAAACTTTAGCACAGACCAATCTACTTGGCTACCCAATGTGTATAGGATCTTTGGGGATGCACTGGAAAAATTATTGTTTGTTTTTTTTTTTTTATCTCGAGTTTGAATATGAATCTTACCTATAATTTTATATATTTTCAGTCAAAAAGATTTTAGTTTATCTTTGAAGAACATCATGCATGACAAAGATGGATGAGGAAGAAGGAAACCATGAAGCTTGCCACTATTCACCAAATGTTATGCACATATGTGCATCTTTGAAGGATGGCATGCTCGATAGAGATCGGGAGAGTTTCGGAGGAAGAAGATGATGATGATGAAGAATAAAAAGAATAAGAATAAAAAAGTTGTCGGGTTTGGGAATTTAAGGATTTTGGTTTTTAATCTATCCAAAATAAAATGACTGTCACGTCAAATAACACGTGGTATCTAGTTCTTCCCTCACAAATTGTAACTCCTATAAAAATGAGTTTACATTTCAAATATTATCAAGAAACATCATAACCCCCTTCAATCATTCTCCCAATGTCTTCACCCTTATGACTATGTATTTGATTGATATCAATAATTTTTCTTTTGCAAAATCTAATTTTCATTAATGAAATGTGCAATAACACAAATATAATTAATTTTATAATTTGAGTTTTATGTGTCAATTTAATCGTAAGACAAAACCCATCAAGAAAGAAACTTACAAATTCCTTCGATTTTAATTTCTACTGAAATATATAACCTACAACAGTTGTGTGCAATAGTTATTCATTAAGGAGTAAGAAATCGAGGATAATATATGAAACAAAATCACGGAACCCTTCTCGATCAACAAATTCAAATAGTAGTTCGTATCATAATCATTCATGTCGATTGATCTCAACCAACCTCTTGATCATATTCTCAACAAGACAACAACCTTCTTCCTTAGCTATCAATCATGGCTTAAAATTCAACTAGGTTTATACTTGTGTTTGTAACCTTTTTATTAGATAGATGTGAGTGACATTTCTTTATGTGTGATTTAACAAGTTTTTTGTTCTCTAATAAGAGTTCGCAATATACTCAATATCACAATATATGCTGTTAGTGCATAAATATTTGTGCTCTATGTGTTTAGAAAAATATCAAAAAAATAAAAAGTTATAACATGATTCTCCATAATTTTTGTTTAATTTTTTTTGTCTTAAGAATTAAATTAAATATGTAAAATACATAATTTGATTATATGTGAAATTAATTATGATCTCATAGTAAAATTATGATCTCCAATTTTCTCTATTTCTTCAAATTATCTTTTCTTCACATCTCACCCCAAAATCAATTACATTACACAATTTAATTCCAAGATTCTAAGATTTGATTCTAATGAATTTCAAGCTTCATAAAAGAGCAAAATAACTAGAAAATGGAAATTAGTGATTGTTTCTCAGGAAAGTTAAAAGATTTTTCTGCTTCTAGATAATTTATGGAAGTATGTATACATATACATATACTGTTGCTGCTGAAATTGTAAATATAGTAGAATTACAAAATATCAACATCTTCCCATCATGACATGAGTCTTGAGGCCTGGAATGTGAACATTTGTGATGTAATCCCTCCAATTTATGCTGCAAACATCGAACCCGAAATTCCTTTTCTCTTCGAATGACATCTCTTCCATCATCTTCCGCATATTACTATTGTCAAACCTGCCATCGATAATTCATTTTAGTTTTTTACCAACAACAATCAGTTCGATATATCTTCAAACATTAAGCTGTATTGATAAAACTTACAATATCTTCAAAATCATTTTGTTCTAAAATATGTAATTATATGTGTGTGCATGTATACTCATGAATGGATTTTAATTAGAAAAAGGAAAGGAAAAAAAATCTTACAATCCATTGTTGAACATGTAGGGCTTGTATATATTTGCCAATTGAATAAAGTATTCTGCTTTCCTCTTAGCTTGCTTCTGAAGTTTCTGATGCAGCTTTGAATCTGGATCCGTTTCCGATTCACTTGGCCTCATGACATTGTATATATAGGATGAGAATTCGTCCATGGACTTCAAAATTTCAAGTTTTCTTATCTTGGCTTTCATCAATGAACAAGCAATGAAGTGTTCATAACAAAAATTGAACATATCCTGATATGACAGCGGATTCATATCCGAAGATCCCACATGGTACACATTTACCTCGGGTTTTCCTGAAATTCCATGCTTTGCGACGGCTGCCAATGTCGCATTCACAACCATGTCGACAGGAATCTATAAAAAATATATATTAATAGAACATGAGTAATAGAGTTCGACATTTTATAAGATTCCAACTTATGGTAATTAATCAACTAAGAACAAGAAATGGTCTTACAAGATCTACAACTGCTTGGGAATCTCCAAAAAGGACTGGCAGGTTGCCTTTCCCATACTGCAAAATGAATGGATCTACCATTCTGATTTATGTATTTTTTTAATCAGAATAAACTGAAAATGTTAACTTCTAATAAATTGACAAGTTTAATATTAACTAATTTATTTTAAAACAAATTAAATTATATATATATATATATAAACACATACATACCTATTGCCTTGGATCCAACCAGGAAAAGGTTCTTTATAAGTGCTCTCAATGATACTGGGACGAATTATGACTACTGGTATCTGTCCTCTCATCTCTGATATCACCATCTCTCCCATGGCTTTTGTGAATTCATAAGTGCTTCTCCATCCATACATTCTTGCTCTAATTTCATCATCATCAATTAATTATTTGATTAATGCATAGAAAATAATAACAATAACAATTATAATAATAATAAAGTTGTCACCTTTGCAAACCCAGATCCTTTATCTTCTGATTTGCTTCCTTTACGTGAAAAGTTTCAGCTAATGTCGAAGCTAATTCTACTTCAGCATCTATGTTCAGTTCTGGGATAGGATCTTCCGAAGCGAATGATCTCTCAGCAGCTATGCTTTGTCCCATTGAGAAAGGTTTCTCCATGCTTTTTCCTAGTCTATTTCCATTAACATATGCTGCAACAATTTTGAGACATTAGTTGAAGTACATATATAGCATGTGTATATGTGTGTGTGTATATATATATAAATAGGACTTGAGTAAGTACTAATGCATTTCACATCTATACCGGTTGATAACATGCAGAAAAGACTAAGTTTGGGGCATTTCTTTGCGAAGCTAAGGAGTCGAGAAGGTCCTTTCGTGTTCGTGTTCAGAGCAAGATCATACCTGTATTATAATCATATATAATAAGGAATGTGATTATATAATTATGTATGATACCCAATGCGATTGTATATATAGATGGTAAGATAATATATAAAAAGAACCTTTCATGCCAGTTTGTATTAGCTGCAGAATTAATAATGACATTAATTTTTTTGGCGATCTCATCAACTGTATCAGCATCCATCCCCAGATCAGGCTCATTCATGTTCCCAATAACTGGTACCAGCTTGCTCATCATGAATTCTTTATAAGATTCACCATGTATTTGCTTCAGGAACTTGAACAGGTCTGACTCTATGATCTGAAAAATATTAAAGCATATAATTATTCATGGAATTAATCAGTTTAAGCTCAAGCTCGTGCTAGGAAAAAAAGAAAAAAAAGAAAAGAAAGCAAGAGAAAAGTGTTTATCTATCTGCTAGCACACACTTCGGTATACAATCTGGCCTTGGCATCTTCCTTATCTTTTGCCTTGATCAACAGAAAGATGTTGACAACATCCGGAATTGCGCGCAACATTTTCTCTATTAAAGCTGCAGTTTTTAGATTAAATGCATTAAGGATCATCAGAGTAAATCAGACATGTTACTTTGTAATATACATATAGGAAGAAGCTGAGTATCGTTTAACAGATTGATGAATATATATACACACACACACACATAAACTGTATTACCTTTGCCAAGAAATCCAGTGGCACCAGTGATAAAATAGCTCTTGCCCTGAAGGAAATTGGTAATGCCAATACCATGATTAGACATATCCCTGGTAGCAGATGAATTTCCCTTTCTAACGTCAACATGGTCTGAAACTGTTACTAGTGATGTTGTGTTTTGACAAGAGATTCTAATTGGTGGTCTTGCTGAAATATTACTAGAAAAATGAAAGTTGGAGGAGAAGATGTTTTCTGTGGAGGTGGTGATTGGGATGCAGCTTACGGGAAATGCATGTTTAGAGAAGGAAGCCTGGAATAAAGAGTTCATTATGTCACAAGTACTTCAAACAATGTCTTGTTATGTGTATATATATATTTTTGGCACATACATTCGGGTCTAAAATTTGGTACGAGATTAATTTTAAAATTTAAAAAAAATATAATTTTTAAGTTTATAAATTTTTATTTAATGAAAAATTAGGAATAAATAAATAAAATATGAAATTGAAAATAATTTTGAAAAAAAGTAATTAAAATTTAAATTTGGGGGATATTTTTGAAGGAAAAATTAGAAATTAGAGGTCAAAACGTAATTAAAAAAAATATAACACGTAGAATTGCATAGTCAGCAGCCTCGATGAACCGGAGCACGCCGCGTAGCAAGGCACGCTGACTCAGTGCCACGCAGGAGGCCATACTGGTAATCCACGTGTACGTGATCGGACGGCCCGAATGCATTTTCGCGCGCGTGGACGGTCCAAATCCATTTTCTCCTCAGACCCGATCGGATGGTCGCGATTAAACGTGATGAATGGCCCAGATTCGTTCATTCTTTAAATACAATCGTACGATCGAGATCAAATTACGATAAACAGTCCTAATTCATTTGTTCTTTAAACGTGATCAGACAGTCGAAATCAAATGCGATGAACGGTCCAGATTTAAGGAAGACGGGTGTAAATATCTCACGTCACACTGAATCCAAACCTTAGCCGCCAGCCCCCCGCCAGAGAAAAAGAATCAATCGCCAGAGAAGGGAGTTGACTGTCGACCGCTGCCGCGCCGAAGCCACCTCCAGCTGTGAAAAAAAGGTAAATTTTCTCATATTCACTTGGAATTTGATTTTGAACACCTTCATGGCCAAAATAGAGAAAAAGGAATGACGGATGAGACAAAAATCATGGGCAAAGCCTGGCGGTGCCGCTGCGGAAAAAATAAAAAATTGCCTCTGATGAGGCCCTTCCTATTTTTCGTTTCCCGTTTCGTTCAATCTTTCCACTATTCTATTTTCTACAGTTTGATCGAAAAACAAACGTCCAATCGTGAAGGTGAACAAGCGGAGCCGCCGCACCAGAAAATCTCACCGCCGGTAAGTTTTTGTTTTTTTTATTTTTGTCGACCAATCGAGACTCCTTAACGTATTTTCTCGAAGAGATGGGTATAAAACTGGCCACAACTGGCAAAAACTGGCCAAAAACGACCAGTCCGAGGCAAACCGCCACCACAAGCGGCAGTGTCGTCGCTGGAGCACAGCGATGCCGCCGTGCTGGAATTTCAAAATTAGTCAAAAAAGATTTTTAACACTGATTTTGGATTTTTTAAAGATATTTTTAGATACGTAAAGTGTGTTTTTACCTCCATAGGAAAATTCAGGAAACCCGAAGACCGCCAGTAGGTGCAACTGAAAGTTCAGTTTTTTAAATACCGATTCGGATAAGATCTCTTACCTTATTCCCTGTTATGGAATTAAAGTCTAATTATCAATAATAAGATATTTTTCGTAATTTAAAAAATTTTGAAAATTAATTACAGATTACTAATGGAGGCAGTGCCGTTTATTTATTATTATTGTCTTGTTTAATTGATTGTTTGATTTTACAGCTTTAATGCATGATAATATACTAAAATTGATAAAATTATTTAGTTGTGTTTTCTTAATGTATGTGTTGTTTATCTTGCATTGATTTACGGTTAAATTGTAAAATTAAAAATTAAATGTAAACAGAAAATTGATTGATTAAGTGAATGAATGAATGGTAGCCTTATTGAATATCCTACAAGATGGTGGATGAACCGAATACATAGGGAACCCAACCGTGAATGTCGTCTCATACCGGATGGAGTATTGAGAATTAGTATTTTTGGCACTCATACCGGACGGAGTATGGGTACGACCCGTTTCACACTTATACCGGATGGGGTATCGATGATCGGTATTTTTAGTGCTTATACCAAATGGGGTATGGGGACGACCTGTTTCACCCTTATACTGGATGGGATATTGAGGAATGATATTTTTTGCACTCATACCGGACGTGGTATTGGGACGGCCGGTTAGTTGACAAGGTTGGATGTTGGTTCATGCATAGTGGGACATCCTTATGGACCCCCATAGATACTAGTAGACAGATAAAAAGAAAAAGTTATTATTCTTGTTTACTTAAATATGAGATTATGATATTGTTGAGCTATTGTCTCTGTAGGTCAGTTTTGAAAATCTCACAACGGTAAGTATGTAATAAATAATTTTACTTATGATAAATAAATTTACTTAAATTAAGAGCTCCATTAGTTGTTTTTATGATTTTTACCAACCTTCAGTTTCTGTATCGATGAGTAGTGTGATATTTTTACTGGGGTAGTATAGCTCTCCCTTTTATTAATTATTTTAAATCAACATGAGCAAGATCCAGATTTCGATCAACAAGGGGGTTGTAAACAGTTCAAAACCTATACTCTCTTCAAAGGCTAGTGAAGGTCATCCTAGAATACCTAATTGTTTACTTTTCATTTATTTCTTGATTTTTTACTTGTTCTTTTAGAAGAATCATTCCCGTAACCTTATTGGGTATTCTAAATTATTGTGTAAGAAATGTAAACCCTAACTCTATTATTTCGCTTCCGCATTCAATTCATGTCTTTATCTCCCTTTTAGTTTCAGGACATTACAGTTGGTATCAGAGCCGCGTTCCTCGGAATTATTCCTTACCCAAAAACCTTAAAAAACACCCAAAAAATGAATTATCACTCGTACCATTCCTTATGAAATGCAGGTACAGATATATGAGAAGAGGAAGACCCCCATTAAACCGAGCAACCCGGGAGGGTTCGCTTCGAGAGGATGTTGACTGACTATTTGAAATGTTGCAAAGACTCATCGCTGCCCAGCAGGCTCGGGAGGAAAGAAGGGAGCCACCTGACTCTCTCCCCCTGCCACATGTCGAGCCACCCTTGCAGCGGGAGGATTCTGAGCCACCCGATACGACCTAGTCTTCTATAGTACCATCCAGCACCACCACAGTATGGTCTGGTGCCCAAATCGCATCATCTGACGCCACCATAATATACCTTGGTACCCCAACTGCATCACTCAGCACCACCACATTACAATCTGGTGCCTCCACCGTATCATCTAGTACCACCACAAGGCCATCTGGTCCATCCCCAGCACAATCCAGTCCATCTTCCATGGGGTCCAATTCCTTCCATTACGGACCCAGACTACATGAGAGATACAAAAGACTAAACACATTTACTTTTGCAGGGGCATCCTCCTTTAAAGAGGTCGAGTACGACTTAGCTAAGACAGAGAAGATTTTCACGACTCTTCAGGTGATTTCCGAATAAAGAGTCATACTTGCCACCTACATACTGGTGGGAGAGGCAAGCCGCTGGTGAGAGAGGCAGGTTGCTGATGCCAACTCAAGCAGGCCACCCTGCCCATTTCAGTCACTTAGGAATAGTCCTTGAAGGCTTTCAATGCAGAGTACCTCTCAGAACATCTCCGACATCTGAAGGAAATAAAATTTACACACTTGGTTCAAGGTGATATGACTGTATCAAAATATGACTGAAAGTTCCTAAAGTTGGGCCGGTATTCCCCAAAGAGCATGATGGATGAAGGCAGAAAGGTAAGAAAGTTCGAGTGGAGCCTTCGTCCTGAGATTAGACAGCAGCTGTATGTGTTCGATGTTAGTACTTACTCGACTATTTTGGACGAGGCACAGCTAGTGAAAAGGAACCTCAGGCCCTCGGTTTCACATTGTAGACCAGCACCCACTATACCTGTTCAGCAGAACAAGAAACCTAGGTCAGTGACTCAAGTTCCTCCTTAGATTCTTACAACAGGACGCGGTAGGACTTGGCAACACTGTGGTAAGGATCATGGGGACCGAAATGCTATCATCTTAACAATACTTATTGTATATGTAGGAGTGCCCAGCATTATGCGAGAGAGTGCCCGAGAAATCAGAACCAGGCCAAACCTCCTATCCTGAGCAGGGGTTACAACCTCACTCAGCAACATGCAAAAACCAACCCAGACATTACACAGGGCAAACCTAAGAAAAAAATTTATATTCGAGAAATTCTGGTAGTTCGAGACTTTTCGGATCTGTTCTCGGATAAACTACCCGAACTACTAGTGGACAGAGAAGTTGAATTCACCATAGATCTTCAGCTAGGCACCCAGCCTATTTCGGTTGTCCTTTACCACATGAGTCGTGTTGAGATAGATGAGCTGAGAAACTAGATCAATGAATTGCAGGATAGTGGATTCATCCGACATAGTGTGTCTTCTTGGGGTGCTGGAGTCACATTCACAAAGAATGAAGATGAGACATTAAGGTTATATATTGACTACAGATAACTGAACGGGATCATGATCAAGAACAAGTACTTCCTTCATAGGATCGATAACTTTTTTGATAAGTTGCAGAGTGCCCAGGTCTTCTCCAAAATAGATCTGTGTTCAAGTTACTATCAGGTAAAGATCAAGGCAGAAGACATTCCCAAAACAGCTTTTCAAACTAGGTATGGACATTATGAGTTCCTGGTCATGCCATTTGGACTAACCAACGCACTAGTCATCTTCATGAATTTGATAAATAGAATTTTCAGACAATTTCTGAATCAGTTCATCATTGTATTTATCGATGATATCTTGATCTATTAAAAAAGTAGAGAGGAACACCCCTACCATCTTACTCAGGTTTTGCAGGTTCTCAAAGAAAAGAAGTTGTATGCAAAGTTGAGTAAGTGTGGGTTCTAGCTCGAGTAGACTACCTTTCTAGTACACATCGTATCAAGGTATAGAGTGGTTGTGAACCCCATAAAAGCTGAGGCTGTGCTTGGCTAGGAAAAATTGACCTTGGTTAAGGAGATTCGTAGCTTTCTGGGGATGGTAGGTTATTATCGTAAATTTGTGGAAGGATTTTCTAGCTTAACTGTTCCTTTGACTCGGCTCATAAAGAAAAACGTCAAGTTTGAGTAGAACGAGAACTGTGAAATGAGCTTTTTAGAACTAAATAAACGGTTGATTATTGCACA